CCTCTGGGGGGCTCTTGGGAATAGTCCCCCCCCCTTCTAAATTCCCACGTGGCTGACTTCGCATTCTTGTATTTCCTGAAAAAAAAAACTCAGCTATGCAGGGGTAGGTACCAGGCTAGGAGGGGAATTCCCAGCTCAGTGTTATCGCTAGACAAATCCAGCACATCTGGAGTTAATCTCACTGACAAGAAGGCAGAGAGAAGAGACAGCAAGAGAGGGGGGTGCAGCTCCAAAGTAGAGAGAGGGATTGAGGGTGAGAGTAGAACCAAGGGGACCAAGCGGGAGACCAGCCCCCTAGGAGTCTGGGAATCGGGCACAGGGAACAGGCCTCTGGAAGGCCAGCATGAGGCTGGGTTGTCCCCTGGGAGGACAGCAGCCCCCTCCCATAGTCCTGGACAGTTTCAGCCAGAGGCAGTGGCAGGGTCTGGGCAGCCAGCCTCAGGCTGGAGAACAGAAGGCCTCTATACCCAAGCAGCTTCCCGCTGGCCGAGCCTGTGTGGGAGGGAAGGAAGCTGGCTTTGCCTCCCGGTCCACTCTCAGCTCTGGCCAGGGGTGCTTTGGGATAGAGCACACCCTGGGAAACCCCTGACCTTCAGCAGGACAGTCTGCAGTCTAGACAAGAGTCAGAGGCACCCCTCCCACAAGGGACCCATACAAAGGCTGCCTCGGCCACCTGCTGCTTCTAGCGGTGGCCTTGACTTTAGCTTCCAGAGCTGCAAGGACCTTGAGGACCTTCAGGTCATTCCACCAATGATCAAGAGCAGGAAGTTTCCACAGAACTCTGTCTTTATAGCATCCATGGTGGTGCATACCTATAATCCCAGAGCTCACTGGCAAAAGCAGGAGAACTGGACCAAATCTGAGCCAATCTGGGCTATGCAGTGAGTTCTAGACCAGCCTGTCTCCAAATTCAAGTTCAAAACCTTGTCTCCAAATAAACAACAGAACAGCGCCATTGGGGCTGGGGATGTGGCTTGCTTAGAGTGCGCATGAAGCTCTGGGTTCTGATCATCCCCAGCACTGCAAAAATTGTGCATCATGGCACAATCTGTAATCCCACGGAGGCAGGAGGATGGGGGGGGGGCTCAAGGTCATCCTTGGCAACATAGTGAGTTCAAGGCCAACCTGGACAAAATAAGGAACACCCCCCCCCCATTTCAACAAAAGAAAAAGGCACCAGACTTGGTAACACACACCTTAATCCCAGCTCTTGGGAGACAAAAGCAGAAAGATCTCTGTAAGTTTAAGGCAAGCCTGATCTACATAGTGAGTTCCCAGCCTGCAGGGCTATATAATGAGACTCCGTCTCAAAAAAAAGAAAAAGACAAAAAGAGAGAGAGACAGGTTAGCAAGACAGTTAATCGGGTAAAAGCTCTTCCATTATACATGTCTGACAACCTGAGTTCAATCTCGGGGTCCCACAGGGCTCTCCTGCCAGAGGGGAGCTTCCCCGAAGCAACCTCCCTTACCTTTTGGCTCAGACCAACAGAATACTATGCCTCTGCCCCCATGGCCTAGCTAGAACCGTTTGGCGGCTCCTGGAAAGGTCCAAAGGGAAGCAGGCCCCACCACGGCTCCCTACTTGGGGCAGGGCTGCTGACTAGAGTGGGCTGGGCTGCTGTGCTAGGTGGTTTCCCAGCTCTCACCTGGCCGCTGTGTTGTGGTTTCATAGCGGAAATGTCCTTGCGAACAGGCACTCTTAAATTCTGTGGAAAACCCAAGCTCTGAGGCGGAGCAGGGAGGAACACGTGGTCTGAGGCAGGGAGCTGGCCCAGGTGGATTCACTGGAAAGCCTGTTTCCTCAGTCCTGTGGGCCTCGCAATGTGGGAGGGTCAGGGACGTCAGGGACACAGCACACGTGAACTCACTGCCTGCAGCCTGGCCCCACCTGGCTGGCTCCATGCCCAGGCTGGCTCCCTCACAGCTGTGCTCCACCAAGGGCCACAGGAAGCACACTCAGCAGGCAGGAGGAACAGACAAAGGGAAGGACTTCCTGGTGGCAAAGCTAGGGACAAGGAGACAGGATGTCCACCTTCCTGCTGCCAGAGGGTCTTGGGGGGAAGGAAAAGTGAACTAGAGTACTGGGGTGCTGGGACCTGTGTCCCCCCATCCCTGCCAAGATCTGACCTCAGGGCTCCTCAGAGAGGACAGCCCCTCTGTACCTGTGGTCCATCACACTTTTCTTCCCCTCCTGGTAGTCACCCAACTTTGCAGTGAGACACCCCCACCCCCACCCCACCCACCACCTGCACCAGAGCATGGCAGGACACAGGCCGGGGCTTTTTTTAAAAACAGCATTTATTTATTTGGAGGAGAACACGCATGAAGCCCTGCACACGTGCAGGTGAATCGACAGTTTCTGAGAGTCACCTCTCTCCTTCCATCACGTGGGTGAGTCCCACAGATCCAAGGCATGTCCTCAGACTTGGTGGCAAGCCCAACTCTGGGCCAGACACAACACTGGGGGGGTTTAAGGCTTAGATGCAGGTGGCAGTCCTTCCTCCTGCACTGAGCCATGCTTTAGAAGAACGGTTCTCAACTTTCCTGATGCTGCCACCCTTTAATACAGCTCCTCATGTTGTCATGACCCCCAACCATACAACTGTTTTCGTTGTTACTTCATAACTGTAATGTTGCTACTGTTATAAATTGTAATCTGATATGAAGGATGTCTGATATGTATGACCTGGGAAAGCAGTGTTCCACCCGCAGGGGGTTCGAGACCCACAGGTTGAGAACCACTGCTTTAGAATTGGGCCAACCACTGCAATTCTGCTGAAAGCCGCATTCCTTTCCCACCGCTGCTATTACAGATGTCCACACCAAGGAATATGTGTCCTCCAATCCCCAAAGGCCAGGTATCCAGGGTCAAGGTGCCTCATGGTCACACTCATTCCACAGGAGGGTCTTTCTTATCTCTCCCAGCTTCTGGGAACTCCAGGGTGTCCCTTAGCTCATGTCTCCATCTCTGAAGAGTTCTGTCACCTCCAAACTCCTTCCAAATCCACAGAGATCCCTCCCAAGCTCCTACTGCATCTACCGAGCTCCAGCGGCACTGTGGGACTCCAGCGACGTGGAGACAAGCCGCTTCCAGCTTCCACACAGCGTTAACTAAGAGACACCCCCCCCCCATCACCTCGAGTTCTCAGTTCAACTGGAACAGGCATCAAGGAAGTCAGCAGGGTGTGAGATAAGCCACCCAGAGTGGAACTCAGCAGGCGCCTCTTCCTCCAGCCTCCTTCCTGTCAGTCTCTTGGTTCCCTGTCATCACCTTGAGCTTCTGTCTCTGAGACCAGGAAGTTGTTCCCTGCACATTGGGGGCTGAGGCAATCTTACACAGTATACAGCAGGCACTTAGTAACTGTCAGTCAAATGAGCAAATATTTGGCACTTGCTGGTGCTGGCATATGTGTACACACAAGTACACAGGCAAGCACAAAGTACACCGCTGTGTATACACCCCTCCTGGTCGGTGGGTACTATGTGTCAGGCCGGAGCTCATAAACCCCCTGCCTCAGAGCAGATAGAAACTCTGTATCTGCAAAGGTCCTGTCCCCGTCTAGTTACCAACTGAGGCTGCTAGGCCAGCCGAAACCAACGCCATCATCTCCTCCATCTGAAATTCTGTCCCATGGTTCTCATCTAGGCTCCCTGCTCCAGATCATCACCCAGCCTCCCCCTGCACTACCCAGAGAGACCCAGCTACCCACATCCCCGTGCGCTAAGGCCATCTTCCAAGGTCCACATCCCTGGCCCAATATCCATCAAGGCTTTCTTCGCTTGCCATATCACTGATGACCTACTGAACTCATACCACCCACCTCCCTGAGGGTGATTGAGGCCACGGGGCCTCCCCAAGCAGCTTAGGGCGGGGGTGGGGGGAACAGCATATTTCACAACCATGGGGCAGAATACTACTTCTTGCTCAAGATTCCCACTTCCCGAGCAGAGCAAGACTTGGCACAAGGAAGCCGGATGGTACCAGACCTGGCTCTGTTTGCCATGCTGTGTAACCTGAAGAAGAGTTTTTGTTTGTTTGTTCATTTGTTGGTTTTTTTTTTTTCTGAGCCTCAATTTCCCTGTCTGCACAGCAAGAAACCTGAATAAGGCTGGCTCCACAGAAGCTGCCTAGAGCCTCACGTAGCCTCAAGCCCTCCCTGAGAAACACTCCCAGGCCAGCCGCCCCGACTCCAGCTACCATATCTCAGTACAAAGTTTTTCTCAGAAGAGCATGGGCTACAGGTGATCTTGTCCCATTCCAGGACTCTGGCCACCGGCCTAAGTTAGATCTCTAACAGTCTGCCAAAGCGTTTGCTAAGTGAATTACCGACAGAACAGATTCAGCCGTGGGCCAAGGTCTCTCAGCAAAACCGAGCCAGCTTACTTCCCAAAGTCCTACGCCAAAGCCTCTTTTTCGGTAAGGGCTTTAGACTCCATCCCCTGCCAGCTCCTGCAACTTCCAGGGAGAGTGATGCAGTCTCCTCCATTGTCGTTTCGTGGCCGGCCCCCCCCCCCTCCATAACCCTAGGATGCTAAAAGACTTGGACTTCCCTCTTTGAATGTTTGCCTAAAGATGCCTGGACAAGCAGGGCAAGAGGTAGTATTTCCACTAGATGCCTTAAATGACCCTGATCTTGGGGTCAAACCTCAGGACAGTACAGGGTCTCAGAAGGTTCCCAGGAGCTGCCCCATTGCCCTTTCTCAGGGAGCCGGGGAAGGAGGACGCTGCCCTGAGTCACCACTGACTAAGCCGGCTGGACAGCCCACGTCCTGGCCCCTGGCCCAGCTGCACTTGGTGGCCTGCACAGAGGCCACTTGACTGCAGCAGCATTGGGGACCACCGAGTGGCCTGTGCCTGCAGTACTCTATCCTGCCCCGGGTGACCCATCGGAGAGGGGTGTGTCTGCAAACTCTGACCCAGATCCCAGGGCAGGCGTGGCCTCAGTTTCCCGTTTGCAGCGGCACCTCAGAGCCCGACTGAGGGGTCAAAGAGCACTCACATAAGGTCAGGCCGGTGTCGATGCAGGATAGCACAGAAGGCCAGGCCATCGCGGAACGAGGTGGTCATGTTGGTGATGCTCACGTCCCGGTAGCCCTCGCACTGTTGCCGGCACCACTCCTGTAGGGCCTTGATGGCCGCCATGTGGGCGGCGGGCCGGGATGGCGGCTCGAGGAGCTGGCCACAGGCCCCGTTCGGGCCCGAGGCGCGGACGAGGACCGGACCCGCTGACCACCAACCAGCCCGGTTGGAAGAAGAGAACGCGACCGGCGCCCCACACTGAAGCCGCCTGCGAGGCCGCCAGCCCCGCCCCCTTGAAGGCCCCGCCTATTAGGGGCCGCCCCCAAATGGCCACGCCCCCTAGAGGCCCGTCTCTCAAACCCCGAGCTCCACACAGGCGCCTCTGTTCTGGCCTCCCCGCCCCAGTTTGCTCAGGCCACACCCATGCCCCGGGAAAGCCACGCCCATAGAAAACCACGCCCCCTCCTTCCTGGGACTGGGAGAATAAAGGCCGGGTGCTCGAACCTTGGCCTCCAGCCAGGACTCTCAGCAAAGGCATCGGAGTTTTCTTTTCTTTTCTTTTCTTTCTTTCTTTCTTTTTTTTTTTCCTTGAGACGGGGACCTCTGTAGCTCAGGCTGGTCTCTAGCTTATTGTATAATCAAGGCTGACCTTGAGTTGAGTTTGAGATTGCCCTGCTTCCACCACCTTTAGTGCTGGGGTCACAAGCCTGTCTGACTTACACCATTCCTGGTTTCTGCAGTGTGGGGGCTTCCTGCATGCCAGGCAAGCATGCCAGCATCTGGGCTGCATCCACAGCCAGGATTTTCTTTCTTTTCCTTTTTAACTTTTAATACTATTTTACATGTATGGACTTTGGCATGCACATGCATCTGTACCACTTGTGTGTCTGGGTCCCCAGGAGGCTGGAAGAGGCCCCGGCTCCTCTGGAACTGGAGTTAGAGCTAGTTGTGCTGCCGTGGGTGCTGGAAATTAAGCCCCAGGTTCTCTGGAAGAGCAACAAATGCTCTTAACCACTGACTGATCTCTCCAGCCCAAACCCACCACAGTTTTAAGAAAAAGATTAAAAAAAAAAAAAAAGATTGATAGAGTCCAACTTTCCCAGGCTGGTCTTGAACTAACTGTTGGACTTGTCGTCCTCCTGACTCAGCCTCTGGAGCTGGCTGGGATGGCAGGCCTGTACTACCAGGTGCCTCCTAGCATCCCGGTGCAGAAGTGGAGGAAACAGCCTGTTGACAAATGGGAAAACAGAGGATGGGATTAATGCAAACTTGGTGGAGAAGGGAGTTCCCTGTTTCAGGGTCGACAAAGCTGTCCGGTTTGGAGGCTGGGGTGTAGCTTGGTGGGTAGAATGTTTGCCTGTTACACACTGTCCTTGTTCCATTCTCAGCCCTGCAGAAACTGTGTGTGTGGCTCACACTTGGAATCCCACACTCAGCGGGTCGAGGCCAGAAGATCAAAAATGCAAGCTCATCCTCTGATATATATGGAGTTCCAGGGTGAGTTGGTCTACCTGAGACCCTGTCGCAAACATTAAAATGCTTCCTCATTTCCCTTCACCCTCAGGGGTGCCAGCCAGCCAAAGGTAACTCCTCACATTCACGGAGGAGGAAGTTGAGGCTGTGGGGGACTCTCCAGAGGTCTCTGTGGAGACAGGAGAGTTTTGCCTCCTGTTTTCTTGTTGGTTCTGTTTTCTACCTTGAGCCTCCATAGCTGACAGGGATGATAAGGAAAACACCTCTCTCAGAGCCTCAGTTGGCCAGGTGAGCGCCCTCTATGGTTTTTTGTTTGGTTGGTTGTTTGGTTGGTTTTTTTAAAACAAAGTTTCTATTTGTAGCCCTGGCTGTCCTAGAATTGCTCTGTAGACCAGGTTGGCTCTAAACTTACAAATATCCCCCTGCCTCTGCATCCAGCGTGCTGGGATTAAAGACCTACACTACAACCTGTTTTTCCCCCCTCAGGAATCTGCATGTAGTCAGATGAACCAGACTAACCAAGAATGAGGTGACACCTCCAAGCTGGGCCCCAAGGCTTGTCTAGGCAGGACCTTTAGGAAGGTAGGGATTTTCCAAAAAGAGGCATCTGATTTGGAACCAGGTGGCTTTTTTTTTTTTTTACACCCTTGACAAGGGCTGAAGACAGGGTTTCCATGCCCAAACCATGGTCTGGCATCGAGGAGGCACCTGGGTACAGGCAGCAGGTATGAGGCCCATGAGAGGGCAGCGAGGTCCTCATCCCACACAGTGCACAAGCCTGGGATTACAGCCCCAACCCTTGCCCAGTCAAAGCAGCTGATCTGCCTGAGGGTTCTCATCAAGGGGACAAAGTGCAGCATCACGCCTATTCAGCCGGAGCCTGGTCCCGGAACCAGGGTTTTCCCGACCTTCAGGGCAGCAGTTACAAGAACCGGAAAAGCTGGTATAAAGGCAACTGTCTAGAAGGGGGAAGAAAGGGTGAGCAAAAGCAGAGAGGGCCATGCCAGAGTCTGAGCGCTCAATTCATCTCGAGGTTCACCATGTGGCCAACCTCAGCATGCTCCCCACCCCCAGCTCCTGTTCCCGTAGTAGCTTGCGAACAGCATTTGTGACAGTCCCTTGGGGCCACCAGTGATGTCACCTCACAGAACCTGCCTTTCCAGAGTCCCCGAAGCCAGACTACCCCAATCTGCCAACCACTGCCACCTTCCCACATCTCGCCCCAAAGATGACGTCAGTGCCTTCATCCACCTTGCGGACCCCCTGATTGCTCCAGACGCCCCTCCTGCCAGCTCTCCTCTGAATAAAGTCCAGGGACCTTATCAGCTCCCAGAACCTGCCAGTCTTGCTTATTGTGCTTCTGCAGGCCACACCCTGCCATGTTCCCTTTGGGCCTCGGTTCCCCAGCTGACCACACAGAGCATTCTCCAGGAGCCCACTGTCCAGCTCCAGAGGGCCACTGTCGTACCACCTGAGTGCCCCTCTCTGCTCCTTCCTGCCTCCCCTTCAGCCCTCATTCTCCCGCTCTAGCTGGTGCTTGCCTATGGAAGCCTCCACCATCAGTGCAAATTCTGACCCCGGTGGCCGTCTGAGAAAACTTTCCCCACCCCGTCACCTCCACCCTGGCGGCACCCAGCCCCAGCTCTCACCAAGACAACTTTTATCGGTGATGGCCATTGTCTAGGGGATTGACCTGCCCAGGGAGGTCAGGAAGGTGTGATGGCCATTGTCTAGGGGATTGACCTGCCCAGGGAGGTCAGGAAGATGAGTATCAAACGCACTGCTTTCCCAACCTCCTTCAGCCTCAGTTTCTCCCGCCGCAAAGGAAAGCACAGCTCTTCCCTCATAAGGGAGCATATACGCAGTTGGTACTCAATGAACGCAGGGTCATGTGCTCACAGTCGAGTTTTTCTTGCTCAGATTGGTCCCCTGGGTGTGTGGGGGTGTCTGGACCCTATAGGGCATTTTGCTAATTTCAATATGAGAGTAACAGAGACAGAGAGAAACACCTAGAGACAGAGCAAGACAGAAGCACAGAGAGAGACAAAGAGAAGAAGATGCTGAGAGACTGAGAGAGAGATGCTGACAGAGACTCAGGACAGAGAGAGATACAGACTAGAGAGGCAGAGTGCAGAAGACTGGCCAGTTCCAGGGAAAAGGCTAACAGGGCTTCTGAGACTCTGCAGCTGAAGCTGAAAGCATTCGCTGTTTCTGCAGAGGACCCAGGTTATGTCCGCAGCACGCGCACGGGGATTCACAACCATCCGTGACTCCAGTTCCAGGAGATTTGGCTTTTTAAAAGTATGAAAAATAATAGCTCAGTTGGGCAGTGGTGGAGCAGCCTTTAATCCTAGGACTCAGGGAGCCGAGGCAGGTGGATCTCTGTACTTCCCTGCAGGATGGGGTGCTTCCGTCTTGGCGGAATCCCTACATAACAACACTGAATGCACACGGTGCACATACATACATGTCGGGAAAACACACAGACACACTTAAAAAGGAGTCAGAAGTGTCGCCACTGCAGCTGCAGCAATGTCAGAGGTGAGCCCTCCCCTCATATGTTCAGGGATTCCTGGTCCCTGTTCTCCCCATATCGTTTTTACAGGATTTATGTCTTGGGTGGCCTATTTCTAAGGGTTGGGAGAGCAGGAGGACACACCTGTGAGTGAGGTAGGCTGAGCCTGGAAAGCCTTGGGGAGGCCGTCAGAGATGAGTCACAGGGCCATGTGCAGAGGAGCACATGGGACCAGTCACATGGCTGCCCCTGGAGATGCGCAGTGTACAGCTTGCGCCACTGTCCACTGTGCTACAGCTGTCCAGAGAAGAATCGTGTGTATCGTGTGTGTGTGTGTGGTATGTGTGTATCGTGAGTGTGATGTGTGTGTGTGTGGTGTGTATCATGTGTGTGTATGTGTGTGTGGTATGTGTGTATCGTGAGTGTGATGTGTGTGTGTGGTGTGTATCATGTGTGTGTATGTGTGTGTAATATGTGTGTCTGTATCATGTGTGTGTGGTGTGTGTGTTGTATGTGTGGTGTGTGTGTTTGTATGTGGTGTATGTGTGTGTGTGGTGTGTGTGTGTATGTGTGATGTGTGTGTGTGTAGGGAGGTTGAACACAGGTTCTCATCCCATTATACTGTAGATGTCATTGCACTCAAATTGGGCTTCTCTGGAGGAATCCTCCAGGGACTCCTACCTTGTCCCCCTTGTCCCAGCATGAGGCCATGGGCTCTGCCTATCTCCTGTGACCACCCTGGGCTGTGATGACTCTCCTGTAACCAGGCCCTTCTAAGTAGCTTCCTCCCTCCAGCCTCCCAGATAGATCCGTGGCTTCTCCTATCCCTCCCCTCCTTCTCCCTCCATAGCAAGACAAAGAGCAATGAACCACACTGTCCCTGTCCCACCTCCATGTGCCCAGGAATCTGCTGCCCGAGGTCCCCATCCCACCACTTCCACAGTCACTCAGGTAAGGACATCCTACTTCACACTGCAGCCTACAGCCAGATCCCGAGGACACTGGTCCCACTCTTGAGTCTCTCCTATCTCACCATTGATTGCCTTCCCTCTCTTGTCCTTGGTGAATTCATGACAGGTTCTTTAGTTGTTTTTTTGCTGTTTGAGCCAAGGTCTTGCTGTGTAGCCCATGCTAGTCCATGTTCGCCTTGAATTCCTTCCTGGCTTAGTCTCCTGAGTACTGGGATGACAGGCACATAGCCACCACCAGCTTTAGTTGAATATTCTGACTTTGTCTTTTGTTTGGCTTGCTTTGTTTTCTCAATTTTTTGAGACAGGGTTTCTCTGTGTA